CCTGTGGTCCCAGCTACTTGGGAGGCAGAGGCAGGAGACTCACTTTAGCCCACAAGTTGGAGGTTGCTGTGAGCTGCGATGCCACAGCACTCTACCCAGGGGGACAGCTTGAGGCTCTGTCGCAAAAAAACAAAACAAAAACCAAAGATTCTCTAAGTCAATACCTATCCCCTTTTTTGGTATAAAACACAAGTCTCACTAACTGATTTCACAGCCCATTCACTAGCTGCAGTGCAAAGTAGAAAATGCAGCTCCACCAGATAAAGCCGCACGGCAGGCAGTGGAAAGTGCGAGCAAGGGCGAGCCCTGAGGCTGTGCTCAGAAGCCAGACTGTATGGGGCTGCTGATCTGAGGACCGCACTGGCCATAGGCCATGCAGGGCAGTGGGGGCAGAAGCGGGTCAGTTAGTGGTTCCTGCAATGGTACCTGCGGCAAGACACAGAGCACAGAGAAGCAGGCGCAGGCAGTGGCCGAGGGGACTGCAGGGGAGAAGTGCCAGTCCCAGGAGAAAGTGCAGTATTCATTTACTGTGTGGACGTCTTTGTTCTTTGAGGAAAGTACCAAGAGGTGAGGGAAGAGGGTCTAGATGGTGTGACGATGCAGATGGACTTCTTTCTAGGTCCCAGGAATCTCCCAGGACACAGGGCGGCAGAGAGCCGGAGTCCATCCCATGTGGTCCTAACCTCTAAGACAGCAGTTCTCAACCTGTGGGTCGTGACCCACAGAAACTGTATTAAAGGGCCACAGTGTTAGGAAGGTTGAGAACCACTGCTCTAAGAGGTGATGACTGCTAGGATCCCAATGTTACAAAGGAGAAAAAGGCCTTGATAAAATTAGCACAGACAGTGAGAACAATGCTCAGAAGACAACCAGAAACAGAGGACTTGGAGCCCGAGAGGGGCCTCAGCTCAACATGCAGATGTGGGCACCTGAAATATGGAGACAGCAAACCCAGCCCCAGCCCCAACCTCAGCCAGAAAGGCAGGAAAAGAAGAAATGCCAGGAAAGGCTGCCAGTCAGAGGAGCAGATGTCAGGAGTCCTAACAGAGGCCCACAGAAAGGAGACCTCCTGTTGGCCTCCATGACGCCCTGAGTGCCATCAGGCATAAATGCTGAATCAGCTAGCAACTGGTCATCTTCCCTCTAGTTCACAGTTGTCAACTCGTGTTCAATCCACATACTTATGGCCATTAAGAAGACAAAAGGGCAGGACACAAAAGCAAACCTGGATGCCCCCCCCCTCCACTAAGTCAGAAATAAAGCAAGTCCAGGTGGCCATCAAAAGAAACACGGAGCGACCTTGACAGTGATCCACCAGGGCCGCAAGGGTCTTCAGCCTTATTTTGGGGTCATATGTCCAAACAAGGAGGCGCCGCAGAGTTAAACTACTCTCAAGTCCCAAATTCACGCCCTGATCATCCTCTAGCTGCAGCTGAAAAATAGCAAAGGCAGACATTTAAGTACAAACACCACACACATCACCTTTCCTAGTGCTCACAAAGTGAACATAAGGCCCCTCAAGAAAACAACAGTACAGTCAAGCTACAAGTGGCCTTTAAAGGGTAGCCAGGACCCTAAAAATTAGCCCCTAATTGGCTCTAAGATATACAGAAATGCGGCAGAAACTCGACAGAACTGGATCTTACAAATACTATTATGAAACAGATCACTATATTTTAAAATACATCAAGTAATTTAAAATATTCTATACATCTTCAACCTCCTAATTGTTCAAATCAGAAGGAAATTATAAACACAAAATATTTACCTGGGAATGTAAAACAGAGAGTAAGCGGTAGTATTCTTTGAGTTCTTGATGCAAGGCAGCACAAAAGCTCTGTTTTGAAGAGAAAAGTATAATTAAAGCAAGACACATTCCCTACACACTGGCTCACTGTCAGTGCAAAGGCCCAACACCTTTAGTGAGGCTAAGCCGGAGTTCAGTGCGACTGAAGTTCTGGTTCTGTCGATGGTCTGCCCATACTTCCAACCACCATGATATATATTTTAATAACATTAGAGAACAGCTCTTCCTTAACACAAAAATCAGAAGAGAAATAAAAAAATGTAGTATGGTTTTCACAAAGCTAAAAGTATAGATATATTAGAGAATGATCCTGGATCTAAAAATTATGTCCCTTCTAAATTACCAGAATTTAGATATAACTTTCTTTAATCTTCTCAGTTGACAATTTACAAACTGACAAGTCAAACCAATCCCCCTAATTGGGATTACCCAATTACCCATGACCAGCCAAGGCAGGTGAATGGCGTGAGCTCAGGAGTTTGAGACCAGCGTGAGCCAGAGCAAGACCCCATCTCTACTAAAAATTGAAAAACTAGCCAGGAAGCATGGCAGGCACCTGTAGTTCTAGATACTCAGGAGGCTGAGGCAAAAGGATCACTTGAACCCAAGAATTTGAGGCTGCTAAGAGCCATGACGCTATGGTACTCTACTGAGGGCGAAAAAGTGAGACTTTGTCTTAAAAAAAAAAAAAAAAACTGAGATCTGCAAGAAGAGATGCCCTAGACTTTGGAAACAGGCCCTACAGTGAACCCTGGGCTCTCACTGCGGGTACTACCACAGACCATTCCCGCAAAGCCTGGCTGACTCACTGACCCAGGGAGGGATGAGAAGGAGCTGGTAGAGGGTGAGCATGGAGCTGCCTGCACTCTAGCTGGTTCTCCTAAGTGGTCTCTGTAGAAAAGCATGGGGAATCTGCTCAGGCAAAGCATCACATTTATACACAGAGAAGTTCAAGAAACAAACTACTAATCCCTAAAAATAATCACATCATCATCTATCACATGTGAAATATAAACACAGAGGGTGCCAAAAAGTATACACATTTTAAGAAAAAACTATATTAAAATGATAATACTCAATACATACCTATAACAAAAGAGGAATATAAGCCATGTTGAACATCTCTTATAATTACAGAACTTGAACATGACTTGAGTATTATATTTTTTTAGTACAAACATCTCAGCAATAGCACATGGGGAGCCACTTCTGAGAGCACAGGTGCTTTATTAGAGAGGGGATATGGGCAACAAGGAAGGTTCCCCCACTGCAGGAGGACGGGACATTCCTGGCTGCCCCTGACAATGGGATGTGTAGGTGTCTGGCCAGGCCACAGTCCACATGGGAAGACTAAGTCAGTCAGAAAGCCATGGGGAGCCCACACGAGCCTGGCTACAGGCCAGAGAGCCCAAGGCAGGTCCCCAGCACATCCATCATTAAACTGCACAGGATGAGGCCATACCTAGTTAATTATAGGAGAGTCATACTCACAAATATCTGGATACACTTTTAAAACATAGTTAATTATAGGAGAGTCATACTTACAAATATCTGGATACACTTCTAAAAAACTTACAAAATTGTCATCAATCCCAAAATATTAAAAGTGGGACAAAATTATTCATTTCTCTTCTCAACTCTTTTCAAAATGATTAATATTTTTAAAGCATATATATGCTATCTTCCATTAGCATGACCCATGAAGAGACTGAGCATCCCAGCTTTCCTGAGCCCCCAGAGGCTTTGATGCACGAATGGGCCTAGCCAGCAGACAGTACCCAGTTCTAGGGAGCAGCCACAGTTCAGAACAGATTATGAAACACAATAAAAGGAAGAAGATGTCTTTGGCTAAAACTCTGGCATTAAATGGGAAGCAAATATGATAGAAACAAGTGGCCAGGTTGGGCAGAGCAGGGACACAGGTGACCAAGAAAGCTGGCTCCAAAAGGGTTGGGAATGAGGCCTGGGCAAGTACCTTGATGGCAGAAAGCTGTGTTTCAACCAGTTGCCTGTGCCTACTGGACCTGGCAGGGAGCACGTGCAAGAAAGGAGTAAGAAAGGGCGGCACCTGTGGCTCAGCGGGTATGGTACTGGCCCCATATACCAAGGGTGGCAGGTTCCAACCCATCCCCAGCCAAACTGCAACAAAAAAATAGCTGGGCGTTCTGGCGGGTGCCTATAGTCCCAGCTACTCAGGAGGCTGAGGCAAGAGAATTGCTTAAGCCCAGGAACTGGAGGTTGCTGTTAGCTGTGATGCCATAGAACTCTACTGAGGGCAATTAAGTGAGACTCTGGCTCTGAAAAAAAAATAGTAATAAAATATTAAAAAAAAAAAAAAAAAAA